AGCCTGCCAGAGGGAGGAAAGCATAACAACTGCGTTTAATAACAATCAAGTTAATCTTGTAAATATTTGCATGTGCTGCTTCAAAGCCTACTACATGGCCATTCATGTACTGCAGCTAGAAAGAAGAGGAGGGAAAAAAGAAGGCGAGAAAAAAAGGGCACTCCATTTTTTTGTAACTGCTGTAGTAAGAAATGGGCAGAGCACCAGAAAGAAAAGAAAAAAAGGAAAAGAAACCCTCCAAAGTTTAATAAACACAAAAGGGAATAAAAATAAATCTTTGGAGCATTTATTGCAAGCCCTTGATGGAAGGATTGGATTGAAGCTCTCAGCCTTTCCAGTTTGAGTGTGTGTGTGATGTCGGCCTGTCTGGCCTCCTCCAATGAGAATATAAAGTTACTTACATTGTCTATCTTGGGCTATGCAAATAATTCACTATTTTTGTTGTTTGTTTGTTTCAATAGCAGAAATGAAAATTCAGAGGAGAAAAAAAGCCTTTGTTTGGATACAATTGGATTTAGGAATTTTTCCTTTCCAGAAAATGAGCATGACTGTCTGTTGTGTCAGAGTGGTTTTTTTATCTTGAAATGTCAGTACACGTGGTACTTGTGAGAAAAGCCTTAGTTGGTATGACACAACTATTGAAGACAAAAGTATTGTCCTGTTGTGCAGGAGGTCCCTGGCTCTGGGAGTATCTCTAGGAGAACATCTTGGGGTTCAGCCTCCTTCAGTTCCCACTTTTGGCTTGAGGGAGTTCAAACCCCTCTCACCTTCCTCGAGGAGTGCCTTGGAATCTACTTGCTGTTTTGGATGGTTGATGAGGGGAACATGTGCAGTCTCTTCGTGGTGTTCCAACCTGCTCCATCCAGGGAGGTGGTGGAGTCACCATACTGGAGGTTTTTGACAAAAAGGTAGATGTGGCACTGAGGGATATGTTCTAGTGTGGTCACAGGCACAGGTGGTGGGTGGACTAGATGATCTTAGTAGTCTTTCCAACCTTAACGATTCTATGATTCTATGATAATATTAAATGGGACAATGCTGCAGGCTGGTATCACTCGTGAACACTGAACAAAGTCAGTAAGAACTCACATACCGGCAAGCTTCCCGAGTTAGCAGTTTGAATGTCCTGTGTAAAGCAGCTGGTGAAATTTAAGTTCATACGAGGAATAAAAAGATAAAAAGAATAGGCAAGTTAAACCTGCAGTGCTCAGTGTTAAGCACATGGAGCTGTTAGACTAAAGGAAAGAAGATGGAAGCTGCCTTCACCTTCTCCAGCTGTGTTTTATAACTCATCTCAGCCTTACTGTGATGAATGTATTTATGATTATTAAAGCTGAAAGTCTTCAGTTTTGTAGGGGTTGAATTAATGAATAATTGTAAGATGATAAAAATGGAATCTTCCAGTGTATTTACTATTCCCCTCTCTCCAAAACAAAAGAAAATTGTTTTTTTCCAAGCTACAGGAAACATAATGTTTTAATTTCACTCATTATCGATAATCTTTCAAAGAATACTTAAGGAATCTGGTCTGCAGTAGTGTACAAAGTTGTTCAGAGTCATCCTAGTGATTACTGGAGTAATTGGGCCAAAATCAGAGTGAAATCTAGAGATATGCAACTGTGACTACATAGATATATCTGCCAGGTTAAGGTGGAGTCACAGAGACATAAATTGCAGCATCTGAGACCACTTAAAAGGCTAATCCAAACCCTTCTAAACTCCATAGGGTTCTTCCCACTCCCTTGCAGAGAGTTGCTAGTCTCAATTCCCAGTCCTCATGTTGATGAATTTTCATGCGAACCCCAAGTGTGCAGACAGCCATTCTTTCACAGGGAAAGAGCTCCAGCTAGTAAAAAGTTTAAAAAAAAAAAAGCTAGTAAAAAGTTTAAAAAAAAAAAAAGAAATTTAGTTATCTACAAATAATGCTTTTTTCTGTATTGGTTTTCCATGGATGCTGTTGTGAATGACAGAATAAATCAAATTTCTTATGGTCTGTTACAAGGTATAACACTGTCTTGCGAAAGAGATGAAATTTGTTTAAGATAAGAATTCATTCTTCTCCATTGCTGGTGTCCAGCAGAAGGCAAATAGTCATTCACTGTGTATTGTTCATGCAAAAGCATGTACACTGGAAGAGTATTCCTTCTCTAGCTGTTATTGTTTCATTTATAAATAAACAAGAGAAAAAATACAAATGTAGAGATGGTTTAGGAAAATTCTTTTGGTTGCATATTCACACATTTATAATGTAGGTCATCTAAAATACAAAAACTGAAAAGAAAGACTATAGATAAAGTCCAACAGAGTTCTACAATAAGTTAGAAGCTAAATATAAATCAACCAGACAGTTAAATAGGACTTTTGCATCTGAAATAAAATCAAGATGGACTGGGTTTGTCTGTGCCAGGGCAAGTGGCTGTCTGCTCATTTGGTTTGTCCACAGGGTAGGAAATTGTAGGCTGAGTCCTCAAATAAATGATGGGGAAGAACGACTTACAACTCATCCTGGAAGCATCAATCTTATACATACATATTATTATGCCAAATTATATTCCTAGTAGGATTGGGTTTGGCAGAGAAACAAGTAGTAGTCTTACAGTTTTCTGTAGCAGAAAAAAATAAATTTAGGAGATTATTTCCCTCTTAAATGATAATGTAACCTCTGAACTGAGTAGCTTTCTTAAGAATTTTCAAAATCTATCAAAATTAAGATCATCATCACATAAAGTTCAGCTTTATTCAGAAGGTCTTCTTGAGGGAGAAGACTGGCATTGAGCGAGACTGGCATTTATGTATTTTTCAAGATAAAGAGGAACAATGCTGTTGGAGGATTGACTCACAGCCCTTTTTCTTTTAGTTCTCATTATAAGGTTGTGTAAAATAAACCCTAATGCATCATGATCAGTATTGCTGGTGGACAGCAATACTGGATGTTAAATGTGTAAGTGAGAGCAGTGCTGCCTTGTGCAGTTGGGGACTGCTACATTGCTCAGGGGTTCTGATAATAGGCAGTCTTGAAATATTAAATGTTTGAAAAGTGGTCCTAAAGCTAATAATGTATTTCATTAATATGAGTAGGCATTATTAATGATTTATTCAAAGCATCTTTAATCATTAATCATTAGAAGTAAAGGTAGAAACATAAAATGGTCTAGGTTGGAAAAGAACTTCAGGATCACCAAGTCCATCCATCCATCAACCTGACCTACTGAGTCCCACCACTGAAGCACTTTTCTTTTCTTAGTCCACACATCTCTTAAATACCTCCATGGCTGGGGACTCTACCACTTCCCTGAGCAGCCCTTTCCAGTTCTTGACCACTTTTTTAATGAAAAAAATTCTTCCCAGTATCCAATCTAAAACTTCCTGGGCACAACAACTGAAGTCTGTTTCTTCATGCCCTATTATTTCTCAGCTGAGAAAACAGACTAACACCTACTTCTCTGCAACTTCCTTGGAGATGTTTGGAAAGAGCCAAGAGGTGTCCCCTCAAACTCCTCTTCTTGCTTTCTCCAATCTGTGCTATGATATTGCTATGATATGTATAATACATCTATGAAAAATTACATAACTTCCAGAAGATAGTACTTTACTCCAACAGTGGTTGAATGAATGGATGGCCGGGGTGGCCAGAGAGCTGGGACAGGCCCTCATAAAGCTTCAGCAGGATTTGTGACACAGCCTGGGCCCCTCATAAGAGCTTAATTGTTTGCCTCTCTTAATGTACAGGCTGTTGTCTCACACCACTACATGACAAATCCTGAGCTATAAGACTAGTGGGAAAACTTAATGTTTTATAATCATTATCCAAAGTCTTTGTGCTGGCGTGACCCCAAGGAAACCTGTGAAGTTTGCTTCCTCTGCTGAAAATCTTCTCCCCCAGCCTCGATACAGTTTTCATCTTGTGTTTCTTTGTACATTTCAAAATGTAAGAGGAAAGGAAACCTTTCCCTCAGCTTGAATGGAGATTTTATCAGGGCCTTTGAGTCATTTTGACTCATCTCTGAATTTGGCTCACCGTGCCCATTCTGCAATTTGAGGAAAATCTTGCCAAACAACAGGGTGTGGAGAATGTCACACATACAGAGCATGTTCAGAGATTTCTGCACATGGTTTTCTGTTTGTGCTTTTGGCCAGAATTAGGTGGAACAGCCTCAGATGATCACTGAACCCTTCAGGGTAATCTGAATTGTGCAAAAGTACTTTGCTGTTTAACCTCAGTCAGGGTTTACAGCTGCAAAAGAGGAAAGGATTGCTTTGAAACCTAAACTGATACTTTTGATATCATTACTGAAGATTTGATTCTGTTTTTCTGTTTTTTTTTTTTTCTTCCTAATTTCCCTGCAACATATCATGGTGGCTGGTTAAATTTATGAGTTCTACTGTTTGCAAATGATCAATATGCATGTAATTCTATTTGTCTACTATCTGCTTGCTTTTTTCTTCCTTTTCTTTTTTCTCTTCTATTCCTGCCTTTGTTATAATGAGAATGAATATTTTATTCCAATAAAATCTTTAATAACTAAATAGAAAACAAAACCTGAAGCTGACTAATTTATATGCCATGCCCTGGGAGAAAATGGATGTTAGAGAACATATAGATCAAACAATTTCCTGTTACTTGTCTTCTTGGTATATCTCTTGTGAATTCCTTACAAGTCTGAAGGCACTTGCCAGCTACAAACTGTTAGGATTTTTTTCCAATTTGTAAGCATCCAGGATTTTCCATCAGTTTGTCAAAAGTGTGGGGTTAAACGCATGCCATGAAGTAGGGATGGAAGTGATTGTTAATCTCCATTAATCTACTTTTCCTATAATCAAACACATGTGGGGTTGGTTTTTTAGGGGTTAAATTGTTAATGATACTAAATTGGCCATTGGAAACTGAATCATGCTACAAATATTTCCCTTAGTGCCTTCTGGCTGTCTTGTATTGAAAGAGATGAAAGAAAATGTATTTTATCATTTAAGAAATATATAATCACATTGCCTTCTTGCAGATGCCATCCCACCAAGCTACTACAGCCTTTACTTCAGAATCGTTAGATTTGACGTCTCGGCGATGGAGAAAAATGCATCCAACTTGGTGAAGGCTGAGTTCAGGGTCTTCCGCCTGCAGAACTCAAAGGCACGGGTCTCGGAGCAGCGAATTGAGCTGTACCAGGTAGGGCTCCAGCTGTTCCTGCTGTCTGTCAAAAGTAGTTTATTTCCTGTGTCTCTCCTGGAAGCAGCTTCATTCAAAGTCTTATGAAGCTGAAATACGCACACTTTACTAGAAAGTGTACCTTGGGACTCCAGCATTTAGCTTGACTTCTGTATGGTGGCCCAGGGCTTGGAGTGAGGCAGTGGAAAATTCAGGGTTTGTGAAGAGGGGAAGAAAATGATCTGAAGGCTTTTTTTTTTTTTTTTTTTTTTTACTCTGTAGTGTCATTAAGACTTATCTCTCTTTTGTTTGTTTTACAATTGCATTTTCCTGTTCAACTGGTGACATTAAATGATTTATGAACTTGATCAGATGATGTTGTCGCTGAAGAAGCAAATTCAGTCTTTCACAGAAGCCATCACAACCCCACAAAACTTCCTCTGTGTGTAAACAAACTCAAGCAGAGGCTCCTCTAGCTAGATAGTGAGTCAGCTTGCACACATGCTAAATCCATTAAACTCAACTGCAAGGATTCTGTGCATTTGTTTGTGGAAATACTGGCTAGAGCATATTTTGTGTAAAGCATAGTCCATCTCGCTGAGAAGCTCAAAAGCAAAAAGGGATTTGACTCCCAACAGTTATTTACTGGGTAAAACTCATGGTTGTTCCATCAATTTGGCACTTGTTCAGCTGAAAACCTGCTAGGTAGAAAGCTGTCCTGTAAAATAAACTATACCAAACCCCTCTTTATCTCTGTTTTTGCTACCCTTATTTGCTGTGTCTGAGCGCTGCTCAGGTGAGTATGCAGCGCATTAGAGCCTGGGTCAGATCCTGTGGGTGCAAATTTGAGTAAATCATCACCCTTACTTTCAAAGTTCATATTTTGCTGCCTGATTTGCTTAAGCACAAACCAAGCTGGGAGTAGATAGAGCAGAATTTGTGCTTGTGCTTCTTGAAGTGACAGTATAAGCCAGACTGAGAGACTGAGGGCAGGAAATGATGCTCTGGGATTTTAAACATGATTTAAACAGGAGAGAAGTGTGACTCCCCACTGAATAGGGTTCAGATCTGCAGGTGGTCACCGGGTGCTTGCTGTCAAGATTGCAGCCTGGCCATGTGCATTCCATGAACTGGCAGGCAGAAAAGGTGCCTAAATAACATTTCACTTGTTAAGAGAAGTAACAGGGATCTTTGATGAAAGCGCTGGTATGCTCAATGTCTGACAGCCATCACAAAGAATTACTCTATGAGTCCCTGTGATGGTGTCACACCAGCCTGTCAAAACAATCATATATTCTGGCTTGACCTCACTGTTCAGACATCCTAAATGGAGATAATGGCATCCCTGAGCTTTCTGAGAGCTGTTAATCATGCACCTGGAAGGAATACAGCTGACATTCCCTGAGCTCGGCTCATTGCACCTCCATGTTTGAGGAATGTGGGACAGAAAGAGTTCTGCGGAGGTAGGGAAGAAAGGGCCTTTGCACAGCTGGGAATTTGCCTTGTGATGAGAAACAGCTGGAGCTCATTTGAGAGAGGCTGACTCCAGCAAGCCTGTGCCCATGAAAATAACTGACACCTGCACCCACAGCAGATACTTTGGTTCTTTATATAAATATATAGCCAGTGAGTAAGGCAATCTCCTTTTCAGACTGGGTGGAGATATACTTAGTGAAACACTGGGTAAGTAATGAGTGCAGGCTATTGTAGAAATGGGGCTTTTCTGTACCTAATCAGATGAACCACAAGCAGCAAGATCACTGTGTTTGTGCTGGGTTTTCACTAGGCATGTTGCTTGCTGCTTCACTTGTAGAGAGGCAAGCTGTCCCTGGAGCATTTTTTTAGGGGATTCATCAATTAGTAAGAGCTGCCTGTTAGTGCTTTTTTTTGCCACTACTTTGCCTCTTGGTGATATTTACCCCTTCAGTCTCATGTACAGTACTCTTCATGCAAGTGTTATGTTAGCTCTATGTTGGCTTATCTGAATTGCATGGATTTCTTACTAGGGGTTCCTCAACCTTCCTACATCTCTCTATCACAATGCCTGAGGTTGCATGTGTAGCAAACACAAGGAGTAGTGGGAGAGGAGGCTTTATTGTAGGACAGCGCTACAGAAACATCCTAAAACTAAGAAGTTTTAGAAGTAAAACAAGGGAAGCCTGAGGGAACAGAATGTAGGGAGCAAGGTGATGCTGGAAGGACTGCAGTGTTGTGTAATGACAAAAGTGACTGATATTGAAGGAAGGACCAAACATGGGAGGTAAAAGAACAGGGAGAGGATGTTCATTTCAGTGGAAGTGGGAGAGAGAAATACATTTTGTAAGGGCTGAAAACTTTCTCAGGTATGTTTGCTTGAAGCATAAGAAGCCATGCATGGAGACAGAGCCTCTCAGAGGAGATTGCTGGAAGATCTGGCAAGTGTAGCTGCTGCTCCTCCTCCCTTCATAAGCGCTGCTTCCTGTCTTGTCAGATAGTGCTGGGCTTGCCAGGGCTGTTGTGCCCAGAAGCAACAATGTGGTTTTTCATCTTGCATAAGCAACATTTAATTATTAGCTCTCCCCCCCCCCTTTTTTTTTTGTCTGTCCTTTTTCTTTCTTTTTTCCTCTCACCAACTTTCAGGTTGCCTTGTGTTTTGCTTTGCTGAACTCTCCTTGATGAGAGTTTTTGAAATTCCTCTCATACCTTTAATTTCAAGGAGTAGTTGTCCCTGTGTCTTGTCTTTTCCCGTCAAGCAGGAGGAGAGAGGCAGAAGTGTCCTTGGGAGAGCCAGAACTTGTAATTCACTGGGAGGCTGGGACCCCCTGGAGACATGTAGGTACCCCAGTGCAATCTGATTTTGGCCAATGGCAGTTTAGAAGCAGCGTATATACTAGTGATGCAGAAAGGACAATACTTCTCTGAAAGCATGCTTCAGGAACAGCTAGAGACAGATGTGCAGGATAAATAGAAAAAAATAAGCAAGCAAAATATAAATATTTTATTTTTCCTCCTGATTCTTTCTTTGTGTGGTCCTCTGACATTAGAGATCTACCCCTTAAAATGAGAAAGAAATGCAGGACTGCACCTTTTCAACCAAGTTTTCCTCAGGCTGCACTTGGCTTCTTTTTCCAAACCACATCAGAGGAGGACTTTGTGTTTTCCTGCAGAGTCCTGATTTGCACTGACTGCAAGAAGGCAGTCTAGGGCTGTCTTGCGTGGCAAGCATGGGCCCCTTGCTCCCAGCGAGACCCTATCCCACCCAGCATGGTCAGATGCAGAGGACCTTAATGCATCTATTTGGCTTGTTTATCCACTAGGCAAACTGGCTGTGCCCTATGGTGCAAATGAGATTCTGAGCAAAAGGTTTTGGAAGTGGATTGTTCTGTGAGTGAGCTAGACATATCCCTTCTCTCAGGTCCATGGGTAGCCTGGCAGCTCGTTGGCCCTATGTTCACAGTTCCCTAGCTGAGCTGTTTGAAGACTGCTTGGGACAGTGTATTCAGAGAATTCCTGGACCGAGGTTAAGTCCCTTTTCAAAGTCCTCTGTTCACTTCCAGCTGAGTGCTGAGCAAAGCTCTGACAGCAGCACAGTGAGATGTGCTGCACCTCGCCATCCTCTTTCAACTCCTCTCCCGAAGCTGGGGGGAGCAAACGGTAATCCCCAAGAGCAGAAACAGTTTCTTTAATATCTGTTTTCACCCAGAATACTTTTCTGGGTATTTTAGGTTTAATCAGTCACATCTGTGTGTTCCTGTGCAGATTGGAAGCACAGCATGCATATTAAGTAGTCTTAATGACGGGAGGGGGAAAAAAAAAAAACAAAAAACTCGTAGAAGTGGGAATTAAGCTGCTTTTATAAGATTGATATAAAAGCTTCTGTCTTTTCTTGGCTCTAGTTAAGTGAAACCACATAGAATTTAATTCTTTAAAGACACCATCTTTTCTGCTGTTTCTTCTGCCTGAAAGCAAAGGTTAATCCCTGGTGCTGCTGAGCATCAGCACATTGGAGAGTGGGAAGCTGCAGGGAAGGAAGGAAGGAACAGAACCTCAGAGACAGCGGCTCCATACTTCACTTTCCACTGCATCATCTTCATTTGATGCACTTCTTAACATGCACCAAGCCTTCAGAAAATATTAGAGGATAAAATACTTTTAGGGGAGGGAGGAGGAGTAATATTAAATAAACAAGTTTCAGCATCCTCCAGTGGCCCTCACTATGTTTTTAAAGATTTATGCCAAATGCAGGCTTTATTGGAACTTGATCAGATAAAGCTCGGTTGCTATTAGAATGTCTTTGTTCATCAGTTTTCTTGCACACTTTGAAGACTTCATCACATTTTTCTTTTATTAAGGTGCTTCTGTATTTATGAATAAAGTCCCTGCACTCTTTAGAAAAAGCTTGCCTTTTATGAATGAGCATTCCAAAAAATAAATGGGCACCACTGCAAAGCTGGACAAGTGAAAACCCTTGTGAGATGAAAAACAGTCGTTCAGAGAGTGTTGCAGTATTGTTTTAGAGGTAGTTTTATTGTGTACAGGTGATCAAACAATGACAAGTAATGATTGCTTCCTCTAGAAGGAGTACTGTGTTTTGGTATTGCATCATAAAGCGTCACAGAAAATACATCTAAAGAGCTGTTTTTTGATGTCATTGTCCTAGGATGTAGTTGACTACTGGGTGTTGAATGGGGGTCCTTACCATATGAAGTGTCCAAGCGTTGTGCAGCACCAGGCTACTGCCCAGGAGAACATTGCTTTGAGATGTGGAATTGAAAGCCACCAAGAGCAGCAGACCTTAGGTCTTTCCAACTCTTTAGGAGTTGGACTCAGTGATCCTTATGGTCCCTTATAACTTGGGATATTCTATGATTCTGTGTTGAATATGGTCCTATCTATGCTGAGGGCACCCACAACACCTGTGTGGGGCACAGGAAGAAGTGGCCATCTTCCAGACAATATCAGACTTGGTTTCTTTAAGGGCCTTTCTCCTCCCTTGGAGGTATAAGAAGGAAGATGCAGTGGAACATATTACCCCACTATGA